TGGCATAACCACACATCACTTCCACAAACAAACAACTTATACATGACTGAGAAACAAACCAAGCTTTAAAAGCCTTAAGGTTCTCAATTTTCAAAAACCCAATTTGTACCTCATAGTCTGGCCCTCCAAAATGGGACGACTTCTTCAATTCTGTCACAGCATTTTTATACGCTTCTTCTATTCTTCTCCTTTTCTCAATTTCCTGTAAAATTACGCAGGCATTTGAGATAGGTAGAATGATTAACTGGCAATAGTAAATATTATATCAATATGGTATAATATTTATCATATTTACCATAGATTTACCAAGATGCTTGGCCACGCAGAGAAGACTAAGACTGACAAAAAGCTAACTTGCTGAATAATGTGAGATAATGAGTCATAGCATGTAAGCTTCCATCTATATTTAGCCTGCATAGGATCCACATGAATCACTTCATGAACTCCATACAGAGACCAAGGACCCAACATCCTCCTCCCCTAACAGGTGTGTGACAGTACTAGATCCACCAGTGCCTGTGGCCACTTTGTACTTCAAATAAAGTAGTAGTTATGCTGGTAAGACTCAGATTTCCTCCTTGACCTCTATAGTGTCACATGTTCCTGGTAAACAGGTATAAACTTCCATAATTCCTCTGCTTCACATCATGAGGTTTCCGTTCTTTTCACAACGACTTTCAAGAGGCAGTAAGCGTTAAGCCTCAAGTCTTATAGGTGACAATTCAACACTGCACATTAACACTTGCAGATATGAATACAAATATTCAGCAAATGAGTTTCAAATAGAAAAAAAAAATAGTGTGCTTGAACAGTTTTCCCACCAACAGGCTTGATTTCCCACTGGGAATACAGCAGTCGCATTCACTTTGAAGCACATACTTTGAGCTTCCCTTTTGAGAACTAGTAAATTAAACAATTGTCATGCGCCGCAAAGGAAAACAGTGCAGTTTTCCCACAGGCCAAGTCTTAGGAAAAAACAAGCAGCCCTTGGAGATCACAATCAAGATTTCCATTATCTTTCAACATAGGCTTTCCTTTCCTAGGTATTATGAAACAGGCTATACCTGTTCACACTTATGTTTCAGAAAAACTTGCAAGATTTCCTGTGCTGAAGGTAATCAGAGAGACCTGAAGATGTACAAGGTACAACTGGAGGATAAATCATTAGGAAAAAGCACCTGAGTTTCACCAGAACACTCGCCACAAGTCACACTTTCTGTACTTCAACTTGTAATTTACTAATTCAAGTGTGTGGCAAAAAACAATTCTTCGCTCCAAAGTTGTCAGCTACTGTTGACAACCACATTAAAAAACCCAGAGGCTTGATTGCTGAGCAGAAAAGTTATGGTATATTAAAACTTTGGAGTATCTAATGAGACATTCTATTTAGAAGTGCCATATATGCATAATAAATACAAGACTTACTGAACATGTTAATCTTAAGGTAATAGTTAATTTTAAAAAAAATCAAATGTAAATATTAATTAGTAAGACCAAAGGTAGCTAGAACTGCAGACTGAGGGTTAAGGATTTTACTATGAACATAACAATGACCAGATACTGGAGATGAATTGTTTTCCCTGTTTATCCCTTTTCCTTATTTAAGGAAGCTCAGTTTTAAAATATATTGAAGAGACTTGCAATGAAAATTTCACTGCACTGGGACAATGTAACCCTCAGGTTCACTATCAGATTTAGTCCTACCTAACAGCTAGAAAGAAAGGCTCCAAGCCAAAGCTGTAGCTACTGGTGGATTATTACATATTTTGTATCAATTTTATTCTGGTCTTTGCTTTTGTAACAGAGCGATTATAACTTTAGACCTTTATATTTAGTTCAAGCGCATTATTTAAGTATCCTCTTTCTAAATTAAGAGATCCTTCTACAACTAGTTCTTCTTTTCAGAGGTTCAGAAATAAAGCTGCCAACCTTTAGAAAATAATAAGTCATTCTTTTTTATCCATTTAACAAAAACACAAAACAAACAAAAAACCCACCACACCACCAAACAAACAAACAAAAACCCAAAACACCCACCAAAAAACCACCCCACTAAGACTGTTTCTAGAGAAAGACACCCACTCTTCATAGTACTGTACCCATCTCATTTCAAGCTTCAGTCACCTCTGGATTCAATAAGCTCTTCTAAAATTGAGCTTCTTCAATATTAGACACATTTTAGTGAAGGGCCTGATTGAATAACCCATGACCCCTTTTGAAATGTTTCCAGAAGCCTTTGTGTAGCAATTTCACAAGACACTATCTTGAAACTTTTTTTTTTTTTCTCCTCTTTTAAACCAAGATAAGTAACAAAAGAATGTAACAGCTCAGCAAGTATGACCTCATCCTGGAACCTTCTGAACAACGCAAGCTCAACAACAAGATAGCTTCTGCCCAGCAGCAGGGCTGTCTGCCTGGTAACAAAGCATCAACATTGCAGCCAATCCCCTGACAACATGATATGTAACCCTCTCCCTTGAAATGTATAAAAACAGAAAGCGCAGTAGAATCGGGGTCCTTGGCAAGATTCCCTGTTACGGGTGAGCCTTGGGCCCCAGCTAGCTGGTAATAAAGGGATATCCTGCTTACCTGTGCCTCTCCGTGTTTGTATCCCGCTAGCGACTTGATTTTCGGACCTAACATTAGGAGAACTATAATTGAAATTATGTCTTCAAGTTCAGCAGATATATTAACTCAGCCCTCTACAAAAGGGACCTATATGGGATAGCCCAGATCCCCTATGAGGCAGTAGGACTCTTGCTAGGTAATCAGAGTTATGCTTTGCATTAACAAAACAAAACACACATTTCTGTAACTCCTAGAGCAAGAAAGCAGCAGTGGAAAGAAAAGGGAAAGGGCTTCACTACAAGGCAACCTGCACAAAACTTCCAAAACAGTGTTTAATTTTAGCGACTGACACTATTCGCCTAGTGACAAGTCTGCACAGAATGAATCCTGAGCAAGTAACCTTCTGACAGCCAAAGCACAAACTGGACTGCTCCCTTGGACTTCTTTTGTTCCTTTTCAGAAAGTTCTTCCCTTTAGCACCTCTCAGGGAATCCATTCTTAAATATAGCATCTGACAATGTTTACTTCCTCTCAGAGCAATATAAACTCCAGGAGTAAAGATCAACACTCCTCTCCACCTGCGTTTAGGAGGTGACAGAACAATGGTCTTTAACCAGGCCCACGCTTACATAGAAAACAACCTTAAAGACGTTTAGCCACTAAACAAGAAAATAAAATATTTTCAAGTAAAGTGAAATAACGTTAATAGAGCTCCAAATAGAGAGAAGTTCTGTCTTCAAGTTTTCTGTTAGCCCTATTAAAGCCACTTCTTCTAAAAGGCTAGCAATTAAGGGAGTACAAAAGAAAAAATAGTTGATATTAGAAATACATTACTTGGCTGAGTGTGCCACAAACACCAAAATGTCATTGACAAATAAAACTTAGACTCTGCAAGTTTAATAAAGCAGAGGGTCTTAACATATCCAAGTTCTGAGAAGCTTTTACTACTTGAATTTCTGCTACAAAAAAGTGCTAAAAGCTTATGTCCTCTTTTAAAATGTACTTGCTCATGTTGTATGAGTTATCACATTCGCATGAGGTCTGAAGTGAAAATCTGTTTTTAGTTCATGTTAAATTCTTAAAGCTGAGCCCAAGTACTTTCAAGTTAGTTCACAGGAAAAGAAACATCTGCAGCAGAAACTGACAAATGTTTTCCAACTATGTACAAGGCAAAATCACTTCATCCATGAAGCTGCCCCTGCTCTGAGCAGGGGGTTGGGTTAGAGACCTCCTGAGATCCCTTCCAACCTCAGGGATCCTCTGATCCTGTGAACAAGCTTCTCGGTCCTGGATCTGCCCTTCCAACCACTAGATGCAGCAGGGAAAGATTTAGTAGTGACAGAAGTAACAATATAACTAGATAAAATAGAATAGACCAAGGCTTTGATTCCTGACTATTTTTTTTTCTTTGTCAGTGTAACAGAGATGAGGATTCAAATGTGGATATATTTTTCCCCAATTGCCTTCATTCTTTCAATTTTGCATGCCATTAACACATGCAGTAAGAGCTGAAGCATGATATACATCATGTGGAAACATGTTAAATTAAAAAACAGGAGATAAAAGCAGCTAAAGTACTGCCCATGCCCAGAACACCAGTCAGTGACAGCAGGATGCTAGAAGCCAAAGCCTGAAGGGCAACCTCACGGTGCTCCCAGCCTTCTTATCTGAAGGGAGAAAACACTGCTCCTTTTGAGCTTACTGCTCGAGTAAGCTTAGCGTGAACTACCACTGCTGAGAGCGCAGAGATTACAAAGCCACACATCCCAAACCACTAACTCTTTAATGTAAATTTATTACTTTTGAGAAAGTCAAGACTTATTTGATGTTTTATTTTACAAAAGACCTTTAAAGTTAAAATCAATTGTTTCCGAGTATTGCCACCATCTCTTAGGTCCAAGCCATTTCAGGGATTTATGCATCACTTTGCAAGCTTGAGAGTTAAGTCTCTCTCAGAAAGCTGCAAGTGTTATGCTGTTTACTATGGAATATTGCCAGGTTCTTTATATATA